CGCCGACACCTTGAGATAAATCTCTTTTTCCTTCAGGATTTCAGCTATCAACCTCGAACTGTAGGCGCTAACAAGGGATAGCGTGGAAACACGCTAAGCACAATACACACACACGCACACACGTACAGAATATTCACACACGCACGCACATACAGAATATTCACACACATTTCGTCCTTTGTACTGTTTCCATGTATTGTAACTTGTTATTAATATATATTTGTATATACATATATTATCGGTCTTGTGTTTTGTTTGCTTTTTTTGCCTTCTTCTTTGGACTTAATCAAAGTCCAACATTTTTATGTAGTTGGGCCCGGCGGGCAGGAGTATCTGAACCTTACTTGCGTTTCTTCTACGTCTGACTTCTATCAACAACATAACAGCCACGGCCCCTCTACAATTTCTATTTTGTCTTATTTTGTAAAATTGCATTTTTGAATTGTTCTGCCATTATGACTGTTTAATTTTATTCGGATTAATGAACGTGCGTCTTCTATATAGAGCTTAAAATCGCTTAAATATCATGTTCTTTTTTTCTGTCGCAAAAGTCGGTTTGCCGTATTTTTTCGTAAAAGTTGACGCTTATATATTATCCGCTGGCCCAAATCGATATAATTACAAGTTTACGCATCGGCGAAACGTTTCATGTAATCGATACTAACCTATTAGCTTCCTCATCCCACTGACATAAAGTACAATACTTTACTCCACAAATCTCTGATTGCAGCGTTTTATCTAATAGGCGAAATGAAATACTTCTTGCTCTCTTTATTTAATTTACATATAACTGCTTATATTTTATATTATTTACGTATATCTGCTTATATTTTATATTATTTACACATAAAGGTTTTTTTTTCCAAGTCTGGGTGGATTTAAACATTATTCTATAAAATACACTATTTCCTTCGTTATGATCCATGTCAAGATTCCCAGATTACCGACTTTATTTTCCCCCCTTTTCTTTCATCATGGGTGAGTCAGACTTCGATTTTTTTCTCCATTCCGTCATTTATTTTTACCCTTTCCTCTCCCCTCAGTTAGTGTAGTTTTTGATTCTGTCTATGATACTCTTATTATTTTGAGGGTGTAATTAGCTAATGTGAGTCAGTGTCGTTCCCGACTTCTTTTGGTTATGATGTAAGTTGAGATTCTGTTATACCGGAACGTACCTATTTCTATTGTAAATAGACTCTCCTACAGATAAGTAGTAGTAGTAGCAGTCGTCAGTTGAGCTCAGTTGAGTTGAGTGAGTCAGTCGATGTCGGACATTAAAGTATCAACCACCACAACTAGATTGCTGCGTCATTAACTATTATTTCAAGTTCCTAACGTTTTGTACGTCGAACCTAATTTAGGACGACTTAGTGAAATACAAGCCTCCATTGTGAAAACTACTCTACAACAGATTCCCAACCTCCCCAGTTTGTTTTTGGCCCCTTTTAATCTCGACTGGTTCAGTCTTTTATTTCCCCACAGCCTACATTTATTTTATCTTTCCCATTCCGTTAGAGAGTTAGCTTCTTGAGTCTGTCTGATGACAAAATACAGTGGCAACTCTTGTTTTACTGTGGTGGAGGGGTCCTACTGACATCAGTTGTATTTTGTTTGTAATTGGGACTCATAACCCTCCCCCTCGTTTCATATCCTCTTCAGATTCATATATACATACATACATACATACATATATATATATATATATATATATATATATATATATTGTGTATATTTAGGCAGCAATTTTTCATTAATGAATGTTTCATTAAATAATATAGACAAGTTTTGTCTATTTATTTTAAGGAAGTTCCTTTCATATTGTCTGATAAGCTTAATAACATTATCATTGAAAGACTAAAGGAAATCACCATATTGATATATGTTTAAATCCAATCTGCACGCGTTAGTCGTAGCTTTGAAATTTTTCATGCAACGAAAAGAGACTATCATTATTGTTTCCGTTGATGTATTGAAAAGTAATTATCATCTTTGATAATGGCTAATGTAAACCGAAAGCTTTGATTAAAATACAACTATATCCATTCGATTTGCAATATCTTTGTCGAGATAATCTTCCCTCCCCCACAAAAAAATAAACAAGTAGGTTTAAAATGCATTCAAAAATACAAAGAATCTTTCTTAAAAGTCTTTAATTTTAATCACAAGTTTATCGCTTAAATGTAATATTCCCAATGAGAAAAAATACTTTGGTGCATTTCGAACCGAATATAAAATCATTGGAATCTTTATTATTTCTTCTCCTTATCAGTGAAATCTATAAATTTGTCCATATTGACAGATCTCTAAACACAACATTTCTTCTTAAAAGATAAAGTATACATTTCTGAAATGTTATTTGAGGAAAATTAGCTGATTTAATGTCTAATTAATCGGAATTGAAACAAATAATACTTCGACTTTTTAAACATTGGAGAAAATATTTAGAAAAAAAAACAGATGGGCTGTTTTTTGTTTGTCTTTTTCATGACGTGTTGAGTGATTTCTTAGCAGTCTGATATTTGGGGAATTTATGTAAGGGGCGCGGAACTGAAGAAAATTACATCATAAATACAATACAAGAGAATACATAAGATTATCATCAAAATAATAGAGACAAAAATTTAAAAAAAGAGGATTAAAAGCAATCTAAGATTTTCAGAAGCACAGATCGATTGATTAGTTTTAATAAGATAGAAAAATAGTCAGATATAGTTTAAACAAAAGAAAGCGAGGTAGATAAATCATAATGAGTTTACTACGGAAAGAGAGAGACAGAGAGAGAGAGATCAGATTGGTAGAGACATGAACTGACTGACATAAAGATTAAAATTGTAAAGCGAGGTAGATAAATTACAGTGAACTTACTACGGAAAGAGAGAGACAGAAAGAGAGAGATCAGATTGGTAGAGACATGAACTGACTGACATAAAGATTAGAATTGTAAAGCGAGGTAGATAAATCATAGTGAGCTTACTACGGAAAGAGAGAGACAGAAAGAGAGAAATCAGATTGGTAGAGACATGAACTCACTGACATAAAGATTAAAATTGTAAAGCGAGGTAGATAAATCATAGTGAGCTTACTACGGAAAGAGAGAGACAGAAAGAGAGAGATCAGATTGGTAGAGACATGAACTGACTGACATAAAGGTTACAATTGTAAAGGGTAGATAAATCATAGTGAGCTTACTACGGAAAAGAGAGAGACAGAAAGAGAGAGAACCGATTGGTAGAGACACGAACTGACTGACATAAAGATTAGAATTGTAAAGCGAGGTAGATAAATCATAGTGATCTTACTACGGAAAGAGAGAGACAGAAAGAGAGAGATCCGATTGGTAGAGACATGAACTGACTGACATAAAGGTTAGAATTGTAAAGCGAGGTCGATAAATCATAGTGAGCTTACTACGGAACGAGAGAGACAGAAAGAGAGAGATTAGATTGGTAGAGACATGAACTTACTGACATAAAGATTAGAATTGTAAAGCGAGGTAGATAAATCATAGTGAGCTTACTACAGAAAGAGAGAGACAGAAAGCGAGAGATTAGATTGGTAGAGACATGAACTGACTGACATAAAGATTAAAATTGTAAAGGAGGTAGATAAATCATAGTGAGATTACTACGGAAAGAGAGAGATAGGAAGAGAAAGATCAGATTGGCAAAAGACATGTACTGACTGACATAAAGATTAAAATTGTAAAAGGAGGTAGATAAATCATAGTGATCTTACTACGGAAAGAGAGAGACAGAAAGAGAGATCAGATTGGTAGAGACATGAACTGACTGACATAAAGGTTAGAATTGTAAAGCGAGGTAGATAAATCATAGTGATCTTACTACGGAAAAAGAGAGAGACAGAAAGAGAGAGATTAGATTGGTAGAGACACGAACTGACTGACATAAAGATTAGAATTTTAAAGCGAGGTAGATAAATCATAGTGAGCTTACTACGGAAAGAGAGAGACAGCAAGAGAGAGATCAGATTGGTAGAGACACGAACTGACTGACATAAAGATTAGAATTTTAAAGCGAGGTAGATAAATCATAGTGAGCTTACTACGGAAAGAGAGAGACAGAAAGAGAGAGATCAGATTGGTAGAGACATGAACTGAGTGACATAAAGATTAGAATTGTAAATCGAGGTAGATAAATCATAGTGATCTTACTACGGAAAGAGAGACAGAAAGAGAGATCAGATTGGTAGAGACATGAACTGACTGACATAAACGTTAGAATTGTAAAGCGAGGTAGATAAATCATAGTGAGCTTACTACTGAAAGAGAGAGACAGAAAGAGAGAGATTAGATTGGTGGAGACACGAACTGACTGACATAAAGATTAGAATTGTAAAGCGAGGTAGATAAATCATAGTGATCTTACTACGTAAAGAGAGAGACAGAAAGAGAGAGATTAGATTGGTAGAGACACGAACTGACTGACATAAAGATTAGAATTGTAAAGCGAGGTAGATAAATCATAGTGAGCTTACTACGGACAGAGAGAGACAGAAAGAGAGAGATTAGATTGGTAGAGACATGAACTGACTGACATAAACATTAGAATTGTAAAGCGAGGTAGATAAATCATAGTGAGCTTACTACGGAAAGAGAGAGACAGCAAGAGAGAGATCAGATTGGTAGAGACACGAACTGACTGACATAAAGATTAGAATTTTAAAGCGAGGTAGATAAATCATAGTGAGCTTACTACGGAAAGAGAGAGACAGAAAGAGAGAGATCAGATTGGTAGAGACATGAACTGACTGACATAAAGATTAGAATTGTAAATCGAGGTAGATAAATCATAGTGATCTTACTACGGAAAGAGAGAGACAGAAAGAGAGAGATCAGATTGGTAGAGACATGAAATGACTGACATAAAGATTAGAATTGTAAAGCGAGGTAGATAAATCATAGTGAGCTTACTACGGAAAGAAAGAGACAGAAAGAGAGAGATCAGATTGGTAGAGACATGAACTCACTGACATAAAGATTAAAATTGTAAAGCGAGGTAGATAAATCATAGTGAGCTTACTACGGAAAGAGAGAGACAGAAAGAGAGAGATCAGATTGGTAGAGACATGAACTGACTGACATAAAGGTTACAATTGTAAAGCGAGGTAGATAAATCATAGTGAGCTTACTACGGAAAGAGAGAGACAGAAAGAGAGAGATCAGATTGGTAGAGACACGAACTGACTGACATAAAGATTAGAATTGTAAAGCGAGGTAGATAAATCATAGTGATCTTACTACGGAAAGAGAGAGACAGAAAGAGAGAGATCCGATTGGTAGAGACATGAACTGACTGACATAAAGATTAGAATTGTAAAGCGAGGTAGATAAATCATAGTGAGCTTACTACGGAAAGAGAGAGACAGAAAGAGAGAGATCAGATTGGTAGAGACACGAACTGACTGACATAAAGGTTAGAATTGTAAAGCGAGGTCGATAAATCATAGTGAGCTTACTACGGAACGAGAGAGACAGAAAGAGAGAGATTAGATTGGTAGAGACATGAACTTACTGACATAAAGATTAGAATTGTAAAGCGAGGTAGATAAATCATAGTGAGCTTACTACAGAAAGAGAGAGAGAGAAAGCGAGAGATTAGATTGGTAGAGACATGAACTGACTGACATAAAGATTAAAATTGTAAAGCGAGGTAGATAAATCATAGTGAGATTACTACGGAAAGAGAGAGATAGGAAGAGAAAGATCAGATTGGCAAAGACATGTACTGACTGACATAAAGATTAAAATTGTAAAGCGAGGTAGATAAATCATAGTGATCTTACTACGGAAAGAGAGAGACAGAAAGAGAGAGATCAGATTGGTAGAGACATGAACTGACTGACATAAAGGTTAGAATTGTAAAGCGAGGTAGATAGATCATAGTGATCTTACTACGGAAAGAGAGAGACAGAAAGAGAGAGATTAGATTGGTAGAGACACGAACTGACTGATATAAAGATTAGAATTGTAAAGCGAGGTAGATAAATCATAGTGAGCTTACTACGGACAGAGAGAGACAGAAAGAGAGAGATTAGATTGGTAGAGACATGAACTGACTGACATAAACATTAGAATTGTAAAGGAGGTAGATAAATCATAGTGAGCTTACTACGGAAAAGAGAGACAGCAAGAGAGAGATCAGATTGGTAGAGACACGAACTGACTGACATAAAGATTAGAATTTTAAAGCGAGGTAGATAAATCATAGTGAGCTTACTACGGAAAGAGAGAGACAGAAAGAGAGAGATCAGATTGGTAGAGACATGAACTGACTGACATAAAGATTAGAATTGTAAATCGAGGTAGATAAATCATAGTGATCTTACTACGGAAAGAGAGAGACAGAAAGAGAGAGATCAGATTGGTAGAGACATGAACTGACTGACATAAACGTTAGAATTGTAAAGCGAGGTAGATAAATCATAGTGAGCTTACTACTGAAAGAGAGAGACAGAAAGAGAGAGATTAGATTGGTAGAGACACGAACTGACTGACATAAAGATTAGAATTGTAAAGCGAGGTAGATAAATCATAGTGATCTTACTACGTAAAGAGAGAGACAGAAAGAGAGAGATTAGATTGGTAGAGACACGAACTGACTGACATAAAGATTAGAATTGTAAAGCGAGGTAGATAAATCATAGTGAGCTTACTACGGAAAGAGAGAGACAGAAAGAGAGAGATCAGATTGGTAGAGACATGAACTGACTGACATAAAGATTAGAATTGTAAAGCGAGGTAGATAAATCATAGTGAGCTTACTACGGAAAGAGAGAGACAGAAAGAGAGAGATTAGATTGGTAGAGACATGAACTGACTGACATAAAGATTAGAATTGTAAAGCGAGGTAGATAAATCATAGTGAGCTTACTACGGAAAGAGAGAGACAGCAAGAGAGAGATCAGAATGGTAGAGACACGAACTGACTGACATAAAGATTAGAATTGTAAAGCGAGGTAGTTAAATCATAGTGAGCTTAATACGGAAAGAGAGAGACAGAAAGAGAGAGATCAGATTGGTAGAGACATGAACTGACTGACATAAAGATTAGAATTGTAAAGCGAGGTAGATAAATCATAGTGATCTTACTACGGAAAGAGAGAGACAGAAAGAGAGAGATCAGATTGGTAGAGACATGAACTGACTGACATAAAGGTTAGAATTTTTAAGCGAGGTAGATAAATCATAGTGAGCTTACTACTGAAAGAGAGAGACAGAAAGAGTGAGATTAGATTGGTAGAGACATGAACTGACTGACATAAAGATTAGAATTGTAAAGCGAGGTAGATAAATCATAGTGAGCTTACTACGGAAAGAGAGAGACAGAAAGAGAGAGATTAGATTGGTAGAGACATGAACTGACTGACATAAAGGTTAAAATTGTAAAGCGAGGTAGATAAATCATAGTGAGATTACTACGGAAAGAGAAAGATAAGAAGAGAAAGATCAGATTGGCAGAGACATGAACTGACTGACATAAAGATTAAAATTGTAAAGCGAGGTAGATAAATCATAGTGATCTTACTACGGAAAGAGAGAGACAGAAAGAGAGAGAGCAGATTGGTAGAGACATGAACTGACTGACATAAAGATTAGAATTGTAAAGCGAGGTAGATAAATCATAGTGAGCTTACTACGGAAAGAGAGAGACAGAAAGAGAGAGATCAGATTGGTAGAGACACGAACTGACTGACATAAAGGTTAGAATTGTAAAGCGAGGTCGATAAATCATAGTGAGCTTACTACGGAACGAGAGAGACAGAAAGACAGAGATTAGATTGGTAGAGACATGAACTTACTGACATAAAGATTAGAATTGTAAAGCGAGGTAGATAAATCATAGTGAGCTTACTACAGAAAGAGAGAGAGAGAAAGCGAGAGATTAGATTGGTAGAGACATGAACTGACTGACATAAAGATTAAAATTGTAAAGCGAGGTAGATAAATCATAGTGAGCTTACTAGGGAAAGAGAGAAATACAGAAAGTGATAGATCAGATTGGTAGAGACACGAACTGACTAACATAAAGATTAGAATTGTAAAGCGAGGTAGATAAATCATAGTGAGCTTACTACGGAAAGTGAGAGACAGAAAGAGAGAGATCAGATTGGTAGAGACACGAACTGACTAACATAAAGGTTAGAATTGTAAAGCGAGTTAGATAAATCATAGTCAGCGTACTACAGAAAGAGAGAGACGGAAAGAGAGAGATCAGATTGGTAGAGATACGAACTGACTAGCATAAAGATTAGAATTGTAAAGCGAGGTAGATAAATCATAGTGAGCTTACTACGGAAAGAGAGAGACAGAAAGACAGAGATCAGATTGGTAGAGACATGAACTGACTAGCATAAAGATTATAATTGTAAAGCGAGGTAGATAAATCATAGTGTGCTTACTAGGGAAAGAGAGAGACAGACAGACAGAGATCAGATTGGTAGAGACACGAACTGACTGACATAAAGATTAGAATTGTAAAGCGAGGTAGATAAATCATAGTGAGCTTACTACGGAACGAGAGAGACAGAAAGAGAGAGATCAGATTGGTAGAGACACGAACTGACTGACATAAAGATTAGAATTGTAAAGCGAGGTAGATAAATCATAGTGAGCTTACTACGGAACGAGAGAGAGAGACAGAAAGAGAGAGATCAGATTCGAAGAGACACGAACTGACAAACATAAGATCAGAATTGTAAAGCGTGGTAGATAAATCATAGTGAGCTTACTACGGAAAGAGAGAGACAGAAAGAGAGAGATCAGATTGGTAGAGACACGAACTGACTAGCATAAAGATTAGAATTGTAAAGCGAGGTAGATAAAACATAGTGAGCTTACTACAGAAAGCGAGAGGCAGAAAGTGAGAGATCAGATGGGTAGAGACATGAACTGACTGACATAATGATTAGAATTGAAAAGAGAGGTAGATAAATCAGAGTGAGCTTACGACGGAAAGAGAGAGACAGAAAGAGAGAGATCAGGTTGGTAGAGACATGAACTGACTAACATAAAGATTAGAATTGTAAAGCGAGTTAGATAAATCATAGTCAGCGTACTACAGAAAGAGAGAGACGGAAAGAGAGAGATCAGATTGGTAGAGATACGAACTGACTAGCATAAAAGATTAGAATTGTAAAGCGAGGTAGATAAATCATAGTGAGCTTACTACGGAAAGAGAGAGACAGAAAGACAGAGATCAGATTGGTAGAGACATGAACTGACTAGCATAAAGATTATAATTGTAAAGGAGGTAGATAAATCATAGTGTGCTTACTAGGGAAAGAGAGAGACAGACAGACAGAGATCAGATTGGTAGAGACACGAACTGACTGACATAAAGATTAGAATTGTAAAGCGAGGTAGATAAATCATAGTGAGCTTACTACGGAACGAGAGAGACAGAAAGAGAGAGATCAGATTGGTAGAGACACGAACTGACTGACATAAAGATTAGAATTGTAAAGCGAGGTAGATAAATCATAGTGAGCTTACTACGGAACGAGAGAGACAGAAAGAGAGAGATCAGATTCGAAGAGACACGAACTGACAAACATAAGATCAGAATTGTAAAGCGTGGTAGATAAATCATAGTGAGCTTACTACGGAAAGAGAGAGACAGAAAGAGAGAGATCAGATTGGTAGAGACACGAACTGACTAGCATAAAGATTAGAATTGTAAAGCGAGGTAGATAAAACATAGTGAGCTTACTACAGAAAGCGAGAGGCAGAAAGTGAGAGATCAGATGGGTAGAGACATGAACTGACTGACATAATGATTAGAATTGAAAAGAGAGGTAGATAAATCAGAGTGAGCTTACGACGGAAAGAGAGAGACAGAAAGAGAGAGATCAGATTGGTAGAGACACGAACTGACAAACATAAGATCAGAATTGTAAAGCGTAGTAGATAAATCATAGTGAGCTTACGACGGAAAGAGAGAGACAGAAAGAGAGCGATCAGGTTGGTAGAGACATGAACTGACTAACATAAAGGTTAGAATTGTAAAGTGAGGTAGATAAATCGTAGTGAGGTTACTACGGGAAGAGATAGACAGTAAGAGAGAGATCAGATTGGTAGAGACATGAACTGACTGACATAAAGTTTAGAATTGTAAAGCGAGGTAGATAAATCATAGTGATCTTACTAGGGAAAGAGAGAGACAGAAAGAGAGAGATCAGATTGGTAGAGACATGAACTGACTAACATAAAGATTAGAATTGTAAAGCAAGGTAGATAAATCAGAGTGAGCTTACTACGGAAAGAGAGAGACTGAAAGACAGAGATCAGATTGGTAGAGACATGAACTGACTGACATAAAGATAAGAATAATAATAATAATAATAATAATAATTAGAAGAAGAAGCTGCGACACGAGATGAAACTGCTAATCGCCCAGATATCATTGTTAGAGACCGCAAACAAAAAAAAGTACCTACCTATTTATAAGGCTCTCCCTGTTGTAGTTGGAGCTTTCGGATTGATTGGAAAATATTCCAGTAGACTCATTGAAGGGATTCCTGCTAGTCCATGCCTGAAAGAAATAAAACGCATTTTCATTTTTCTTTTTTTTTTCTTTTTTTTCTCCCCCTATTCCTCACTCTGTTTGACTATCGTAACACATTTATTTTTGTCCTAATCATTCTGACATATCTTATGATCCTATTTGACGTTTTAGTTAGAAATCCCGGTTCGAAAGAAAAAATCAAGAAAAAGGAAAATTGAATGTCTTTGGCTTGATGCGAAAGTGTCTCGTCAGTATTCTCATGATCTAGTTGGCCGAATTTTCTTGCTAGATAAAATGTCCGAACATGGAATTATTTTCGCCGTTTCTTTCTCCTGTTGTTCTTAATTTTATTGAAAGCATGTCTCCCAAGCCAACTGTTGGTAGGGGCGGAGGATTAGCCGTTGCCCCCCCTACCAGCTCTGCGTTTCGTTGAAACCCTATGATTGGACTTAAGGTAAGCCGTACATTCACTGGTTATCATGAGAATGAAAGCGGACAAACACTCGCTGCCACGTATGATGTGACATTTATTAGGTTGGTGCAAAAATAATGATTAATAATGTCGTTTTTGACGTTAAAAATACGTCAAAAAACGACATTATTACGTCATTATTTTTGCACCAACCTAATATTATGACATATCAACAAAGCCGGATAACCTTATTTTTCCGGTGGGCAACCCTGAGGCCACATTATGATGCAGGCTGTGCCAGCTCCTCTCTGCCCACGTCACAGTCGATAACTGTGTGCTTCTTTTACTTCAGGCCTTCTCATCTTCCAACCATAATTCCACATGATGACTTACAAAGACCGAAAAAGTAATCCTAAACCAGCCCCTCAAAAATCACCTAAACCCCTCAACATTTCGTTCTCCAACATCCGTGGCATTAGAACAAACTTCTGCGGTATGGAATCTTTCCTCACTGAAAACTGCCCGGATATACTGGCTCTCTGTGAGACCAACCTTGTTTCGTCTATCCCCTCCTCTGATCTCTCGATCACAAGCTACCTTCCCCTCCGCAGAAAAAAACTCTCTAACTCACATGCACGGCCTTGGTGTCTACGTCAAGGACCATCTCCCTCTGGCCAGAGAGTTGTCACTCGAATCGCCAGACCAGTCGTACATGTGTCTCCGTCTATCTCCTCTCAATGCGGTGAGCTATCTCTTCTTCCTTTACCGCTCTCCATCCTCTCAAGACTGTGGGATACTCGATAGCATTTCTGACAGCATAGACAAGGCTCTCTCCCTCCACCCGTTTGCTCACATATTTGTGTTTGGCGACTTTAACGCCCATCATACCAATTGGCTTAAGTATGCTACTACTGACCACGCAGGCATTCAAACACTTAATTTTTCAGTTTCTCAATCCCTCACGCAGATAGTTAACTTCCCAACTCGTTTTGCCTTCAACCGGGAACGTAAGGCCTCGATCTGTGTTTTACCTCCACCCCGAGTCCTGTAGCCCCACGCAACTCTGCCCTCTTGGTAACTCCGATCATGCTGTAGTATCTGTCAACATCTCTTCAACTCCACCCCCTGCAAAGAACTTCCTACCACTAGAACTTCGTTCTACTATCAACAAGCTGGCCGGGACTCATTCCGTGATTTCCTCCGCGATGTCCCCTGGGATGTTGTCTTTACGCTCCCCGTCCAAGAATGTGCTTCTTAGGTCTCATCCTGGGTTAAACCTGGAATCGACGCTTTCATCCCCTCAAGGAAATTTAGGGTCAAGTTGCGCTCATCCCCTTGGTTCTATGCTGTTTGCTCAGCCGCCATTGAGCATAGAAACCACTTCTTTCACCTATTTCGAAGCGACATGTCGGACTGCAATAGACGTCTCTTTGCCTCCGCCCGTAACGAGTGTAACGATGCTAAGTCACTATTTTGCTGCTCGGATGATGGAGCGTATTGCATCTCGCAAATTTGGCTCCAAAGATTATTGGCGTCTCTGCAAGAGCGTATTGAACAATTGCAAACCCTCTATACCTCCTTTGTTCAACCAGCTCGAAGTCCTGACTTCCTCTGCTGAATGCTTTGCTCGGAAATTTTCATTCAACTCAACGCTCGACTCTTCCGGTGTACCCATACACGACTTCCCTCTTAGAACTGAGGCACTATTGAGTGGGTTACACATAACCACGTCTTTGGTATTGGTCATTATCTCCAATTTAGACCCCGACAAGGCTAGTGGTGGGGATGGGATACCAGCCATTGTCTTGAAGAAATGCGCGCCTGAACTGGCGCCAGCCCTCTCTAAACTACTGCCTCAAAGAATATTGTTTTCCTGTCTACTGGAAGTCCTCTTCGATTGTTCCTGTCTTCAAGAACTCTGGCGACTCCCCTGACCTTTCTAACTACCGTCCTATCAGTCTCCTACCCCTCTTCGGCAACGTCTTCGAAGCCCTAATCAATACCGAAGTGGTTAACCACCTTACATCCCATGATCTGCTCTCAGGCAAGCAATATGGTTTCCGCTTTGCCCGATCTGCAGCTGATGTGCTTACGGTCATCACTGAAACTCTCTACCAAGCCCTTCAAAATAACGGGGAAGACCGTGACGTGGCCCTAGACATCTCCAAAGCGTTTGGCAGGGTGTGGCATGCCGGCCTTCTTCGCAAGCTCCAGGGTTATGACATTACGGGTCGATTGTTTGACCTAATACAATCGTTCCTGTCAAACCGTGAATTGAAGGTCGTTCTCAACGGATTCTCCTCCAGTTCCTATCCCACGAACGCAGGTGCTCCTCAAGGCTCCATCCTAGGCACCACTCTATTCCTTATCTACATGAATGACCTTCCTGACGCAATAAATTCCCAAGTTGGCATCTACGCGGATGACACTACAATTTACTTCTGCCTTGAAAACAAATCTACTGTCACTAACAAAACTAACCTGACCGTGTGTCTGGAAAAGGACCTCCAATCGGTTGTGAACTGGGGCAGGAATTGGCTGGTCAACTTTAATGCTTCAAAAACAAAACTGCTCTCTATTAATCACCACAGAGATCCTTCCTTGCCCTCCATTAAAATGTCTGACGTTCAACTTCTCGAGAGCACCTCCCTGCGGCTGCTCGGTCTCACGTTGACTGCTGACCTGAGATGGAACAAATACATTGAGTCAATTGCTTTGTCCACCGCAAGGAAAGTTGGCTCCCTGTGTCGCACCAGGAAATTTTTCTCCCCGGAATCGATCCTTCAGATCTACAAATCAACAATTCGCCCTTGCATGGAGTATTGCTGCCATATATGGTTTGGAACCCCTTCTGTTTTCCTCGAGGATCTTGATAAGCTCCAGAGGCGGATATGCAATATAATTGGCCGTGATCTGGCATCTCGTCGCCTCTCTCTGTCTTTTTTACAAATACTTTCATGGTAATTGCTCCGAGGAGCTGTTATCGCTTGTTCCCTGACTTCATGAGTTCAAACGCCCTACGAGGCTGGTATCCCGCTCTCACCCTTTCACTGTCGAAACTATTAAATATAGCCGTCTCTTTTACTCCAATAGCTTCATGTCTCGCACCTCTCGCCTGTGTAACTCCCTTCCTTATTCCAGTTTCCCTGAGAGCTATAATCTCCAACTATTCAAATGTAATGTCAATCGACATCTCCAGTTGCCTTGATCTATCCACTATCCTTCTTCTCATCCTTTCCTCTATCACTCCTATCTGATCTTGCTCCAAATCTTCTGTAACCCCCTTGCGTCTTAGTGGCTTAACACCTTGCTTGGGGGTGAAACGCTTAAAAAAAAAAAAAAAAGAATTCTTCTCAGGAGTACCGCACACGCCATACGAAGGCTTTATCTATGTAAAACATGCATGTGTGTCTCATGTTTTTTTCTTTATTACTCAGTCGAAAATGTCATAATGACATTTCTGACCTTAGGTCTCCGGCCGGGACCTGGAAAAGAAATGAGTATAGACCACAAATCAAAAATAATAATAATAATAATAATAATAATAAAAGCCATTTCTAATAAAGTTCTATTCAGCGCTCATTGAGTGAGCAAACAGTGTTACTATCGATTAAAATTTATAAACACTTTCTACATTTATTTTCATTATTTATAACCGAACGATTGTCCTAATCTTTGTTGTTTCTATCACAACGTTTCGGCTGTTGTCCTCTCTGGCTTCCTACAGGGGTATATCAATCTGTATAAAATTTAGGTATTTTTTATATGTTGTTTGGTCCTCTAAATTTTCAGTACCTCCGCCTCCTCATATATATATATATATATATATTTGTCTGTCTAAGAAGTAAAGGAACTGTTTATGCTGTGTGAGCTATTCGCGAGAGAGAGAAAGGCGAATTGTGTCTAACGTGATATCTTGGGAGTATATAACTGTAATTTTAGCTTTCTGCAACTATTGCATTGTTTTCAAATGCGAGACTTTACAGCAAGACAAATCGTGACTGCTTCACCACAAAAATGCACCTTTTCACAACGCCCTGAGCAGCCGGCAGTTCGTGGCTTGGA